AGCCTCAGCGAGATGGTCACAGCTAAGACTTAACACCCTGGTTCGAAGGCTGAGCCAAAGCAGGCTGGCTGGCCTCCTCCCTGTTGGCATTCAGCGCCTTGGGAAATATTTGGGGAGACCAGGCCGTTCCTTTCTAATTCACCTGGTTTAAAAGGACCTGATTCCAAGGAGCCGCATTAAAAAAGCTCTTTACTTTTCGTGCTGGATTGCAAAGCCCATCCTCTCTTGGCCATTGCTTGCACTGGGGGGATGATGTCTTAGTTTTGCAGCCTAGGAATTAATCCAGGGATCTTTTGTTGACTTTGAGAGCTGAAAGTTTGGCAGTTGGTAATTTTTTTTTTAACCCAAGGCTGACTTCCTTTGACAGGAGAAGAACATTAGGAGGAGAAGGGGAGCATCTGTTCTTCTTCTCATAGGAACTCCGTTTTTGGCATTTTGCGCTGGAAACAGGTGGGCCCTGTGGAAAAGGAAAAGGTGGGATGTTTGTAAGCATCGGAGGACACGAATGTCCAAGAGTCCTCCATCTCAAAGCATTATTCGGAGAGCAAAAAGGGGGCATTTTACCATCTCCTTAAGCAACGCAGGAAATGAACATGAAAGGCATAATTTCATACCTTAAACTCCTGCAGGGAAGAATGACAGCCTGGACATGTATGGGGTTTGTGTGTTTTGTGTGTGTAAAAGTTTTTGTTTTTTAAAAACATTTATCCAGGGCTGCCTACATGTTGGCAAGGCTCATTTCTATTCTACAGTCTCATTTTCTGCCGCAGGTGTAAACCAGATTTTAAACCAGAGGTTCTAATTCCTTGCCAAGAGAACTCTCCGATTCTACCGCTAAATCTCCCCTTACAATCCACCTCTTGGCAACCCCTTTTTGCAAGTTAGTTTTTGCATATTAATCTCTATCCCTTTCCTTCCGTCCAGCTGAATCAGCGTGATTAGAAAGTAATTTTAAGTTTCGCTTCCTTGCTGCAGAAAAGTTTCCGTGGCTGACTTTTGTGCAGAAAACCTTTCTTAGTCATTCAGGCTGGGGAAATTCCACTGTTCCCTCTTCTGATTTGTAAAATTCATTGCTGTGGAAAGGCTGTTTTGATGAATATTACAATCCAGATTTCTCTATGGTACATCCAAAATAATTACTAACCTTCCAGAAGTTTTGTTATCGTATTTGCTCAGGCGTTTATAGCTGTTACCCCAAACCTCTCAAGGAAACAATTCCTTTTTCCCTAGAAGGAAGGCCCGTTAGATTCTTTCATGTCATTCTGATTCCCTCTAAGATGGTTTGCAGGCCTGGCTAAAATAAAAGGATTGAGTCACCTTTGTCTCTCTCCTTCTGTAATCGGAGGGAGCTATTTTAAAAATGCAGTACATTTCTTGGCACGGATTTCTCTCCCAGATTGAAAACAAATTCTCAGCTCAGATGGATTGTTATTTTTAAGTCCAGGAGCTGTTTATGTTAATTAAAGCAGTTGATTTTTCTAAATTATGTGACAACACAAACACACGTTGGCCCTTAACAATTTCCGCAGCCTTTTCCTTCCGTGAAATCGGGCTCCTTCGCAAGGCCTTTCCTCCTCCTTCCTTTTGTTCTTTTCTGGCGGGGTCTTCATGCCTGAGGGGCTCCCTGGGAGCTGAGGAATTAGCACCCCAATTCTGTCGCACGAGGAGGGGGCTTTCTCTGAGATATTGTAAAAGGTGCATTATCATTATTCGGTCCAATCTAAGTATAGTATATAAAATCATACATTGCAATGTCCTACCTGTCAATGAAAATACTTCAGCTTCAACCATAACAAAACAAGAGCAAACAATAGATACAAACTCAGGGTTAACCGCACCAAAGTTGATTGCAGGAAATACGACTTCAGCCACAGAGTGGTCAATGTCTGGAATACTCTCCCTGACTCTGTGGTTTCTTTCCCAAACCCAAAAAACTTTAACCTTAGACTGTCTACTATTGACCTCACCCCCTTCCCTAAAAGGCCTGTAGGGGGCGGGCATAAGCGCACCAACGTGCCTACCGTCCCTGTCCCATTGTTTCTTTTATATTTTTATTTTTCTTATATGTATCCATTTCATGTATTCATATCTATATTTATACTTATACCTATTATCTTGTAAGTGATTGACAAATCAAATAAATAAATAAATCATTCTCAGTTTAGTGACCATTAATGGGACACTTTCTCCAAAAGCTGAAATCACGAGTTATCACAGGCTCAGGGTTGTTTTGTGTGTGTGTGTGTGCGTCCATCCAAAAATTCAGGAAGGCAGCTAAAGGTATGCGGTGGCATTCAGACACGGGGCCCTTTAACGCCTCCCATTCAGAGCTTGCCTGCTTCCCTGGCTAGAACTCTCTGCAGCCCCCTCTCCAAGCAGGGAGGGAGGCCGCATCGATTCTCTGGCTCTGCCCGGCTCTGCCCTTGTGATGCTTGTAGCAAACCTCAGGGGCAGCAGCGCCGCCGTCCCCAGGTGACCTTCAGGGCAAATTGCCAAGTGGGGTTAGGAGACTTGTTCTGGAGATGTCAGAGCTGATGGGTTGGTCAGAGGCGCGTGCTTCTGAGGTTGGAAAGCAGGAATGATGGTCAGTATAGAGCTGGGGGCCCAGCAGCTGATCGTTGGAGCAAACTGTTTTGCTCACAGATGATCCTCAGAGCTACCAGTTTGCTACCGAACCGGTAGCATGCCACCACTGGTTGAGAGGCTGTGTAGGACAGGGCTCTCCAGCCTCGGCCACTTTAAGACTTGTGGACTTCAGCTCCCAGAGCCGGCCAAGGAACTCGGGGAGTTGAAGTCCACAAGTCTTAAAGTGGCCGAGGCTGGAGAGCCCTGGGGTAGGAGGCTTGCAGAAAGGGGGGCCTTACCTCACATTGGAGTCTCCACTGCAGCCCAACTCTGGCCCAGAGCAGGGTTTGAGTGCCCTCCAAGGTGTCCATCACAAGAGGGGTCAACCTCTAGCCAAACATGGTGATCCCCAAGAGGCGAACCAGAGTTTACGGCAAATGCCTGGTTAGTATTTGTGGGAAGAATCCTCGGAGCCATAGGCTGCAATGGGAAGGCTAAAACACACACACACACACACACACACACACACACCCGAGAACGTGTGGCCAGCCCTGTTGCCAAGATGACCCCCTAGGCAGACCCCTGAGGACCCCGGTAGTTGAGCTCTTTTCTACCTGGACAGCCCTGGCTCAGCGGCACGAAATTAACCTGCAGAGCTGTGATTGGACGGGACGTGGGAGGTGAGGCAGACTTATTTTAATGGATGTCTCTCGATGCGCTAAAAGAGGAGCAGATTGCATGTTTTTGAAGCTGACCAGAACGGAGCACTTGGAATTATTTGTTTTATCGTACCGTGATATCAGCAGACGTTCCTGCTATCAAAGCAAGAGTCAGGTGGAAGTCAGGCCATCAGCGGAGGGCCCTTCCCAAAGGCAGGAGCATTGAACTTGTTGCATCATTCAGGCAAATCTTAATTTCACTATAAATAGGTTCCAGATTTCTGGGGGAAAGTCTACTTGAGCTTAGGGTGACCTATATAATATTCCTTCCTCCACTTTTTCCCAGTCCTTGTGTAGGACTCTAATCATTATACTGTGTACTCTCTATTAATAAAAAACAGGAATTGGGTTAAAGGAAACCAAGCAAAACACAAGCAACACACACACACACACACACGGTTTTTCTTAGGACTTATTAACACCTTTCAGTCAACAGACGGAATAGCATTTTTTTTTTTTATTCCAGCATGCTGATTTTAAGGAAGGGGCCTGCAGCTGGAAGCTAAAATCCCCCCCCCCCCCCACAGTCCACGATGCATCCTGCCCTCTCCCCTCCAAACTGCCAAGCTCATTGAATGTTCTGTGGAGCTGCCAGTTCAAACAACGCATGCATGTTCCCAGGGAAATCTTGGCTTAGGAACTCAGTCGCTTGAGAAGCTGATAGCTTATTTTCACACACATCTAACCTGCCCCCTCCCCAAGAGGGTTTATTCTAAATTTGGCTGGGGAGCCTTACTACCTGTGTGCAGAGCTGAGGTGTCCATAAGCTCAACCTTGACCAATTGAGATGTGTGGACCAACTCCCAGAATTTGCCGGTCAGCATGGCCGACGTGAGGAATTCTGGGAGTTGAAGTTCATGGAAGGCATGCTGCTAGTATTATCGTGGCTGGTTGTCCAGTCAGCCAGACGTTCAGACTGAATTCTGCATTTCTGTCCACCCATCGAGTCCTTCCCAAGTACCTAGGACAGGCAGAGGTGGATGTGAGCTCTCCCAAGTAAAGCTGCCTTCTGCAGTTGACTGGTTTTGTGTTTTTGTCAATGCCACTGATGCTCCAGATGCTTTGGGATTGCACCCAGGGTGCCTGTTCCTGTTGGTACTATCTTTGCTTTCTTTTGCCACAGACATTCTACTTCTGTTTGCGGATCTTTGTATTCTGTGATTTTCTCCCGTTCTTCCCCTTCTTCTGCTGTCTTCAGGAACCCCAATATCCACTATCCAGATTTCTTGGTCTTTCTTATCAACAGTTGTTAAGTCTGGGGTGTTGTGTGGCAGATGATTGTCTGTTATGATTTCAGTTGGATAATGGAACCTGGCAGAGTAAGACAGTGAGGATATAATCACAGGGTTTGTAGCCCTGGATAGCTAATTTTATTTTTACAGAATAGCACGGCTCAAATTGTACGTTACTACTTAAACTTTGAGTTTATTTTTATTACTACCATACATACTTTTTCATTACATCCTCGCTGTTGGAGTGTTTTTAATTTTTGTTTGTTAAATACACTACTTGGTTTTTTAAAAAATAAATTTAAAAACAGTTGCATCCTGTCATGTATTTTCTGTGCTGATATCGTGTCTAAAAATGAAAAGTAAACATGGGAGACACTCCGTTCTCCCTCCAGGTGCTGAGTAATCCGTTTTTATCCTGGTCTCTCAGGGATTCTGCTTCCGAAAATGTACTTTTCCTTTTTTTTTTTCCCCACAAACCCCTTAGGGTCGCTGCACTCGAGAAAACTGCAAATACCTTCACCCTCCACCACACTTAAAAACACAACTTGAAATCAATGGGCGCAACAACCTGATCCAGCAAAAGACAGCCGCTGCCATGTTTGCACAGCAAATGCAGTTTATGGTCCCTGGAGCCCAGCTGCAGCCGATCGTAAGTGACAGGGAGTCATTCTCGATGAGGTCTGGCTCAGAGCAGGGGCTTCTTGGGCCAGAAAGGATAGAGGTAAGATAGGGCCACGTTTCCAGCAAGGTGAAGATGAAGCAAGGTGACACCGCTGGACCGCACGGGTTGCATCTATCAGGGATTTCTCAGCACCAGCTGGAAAAATTGTGTCGGTGACTTCAAGGTGGGAAAACGCATTGGAGCGGGTGGAACGTCAGCAGAATCCCTGACCTTCCCCAAACCCCCAACATCCGCATTCAAAATTGGCACTTTAAGCGAAGAGACCTAAGGTGATCGTGCTCCATTCTCCACCTACCCATCCAGGTTATTTCAGGACAATGGCCCATGCGTCGGAAGCTGCGCATAGTCCGCCCAAAGCCTATGCCCTCATCAACCAGACCGTCCTTGGAGCACTACAAGATCCTTGGCAGATTTTGTTCAAGAGACCCAGCCCCCAACCTTCTTGACTTCCTAGGCTTAGGTGTTAATTTTCTATGTCTTGTCCACACTTCCGATCTGTGGCCTCCTTAAGAGCAGGCGGAAAAATCAAATCCCCCCTTCTTTCGAATGCAGCATGGTGCATCAACCCTTCTAAAGAGTGGATGGTGGAGGCCCATAGATGAATATTGATAGATGGCTGTCTGCTCAGTGATTGGGCAGGGGGTTGGACTTGCTGAGGCAGGGGGTTGGGCTAGATGACCTACAAGGTCCTTTCCAGCTCTTTTCCCCTGATGACAGCCTGCCTTTTGCTTGATCTTCCCCAACAGACGACGTTTCCCGTGACTCCTTCGCTTGCAACCAGCCCCACCATGGCGTTCAGCCCCTACTTAAGCCACGTTTCTCCAGGGATGGGTTTGATGCCTGCAGAGCTCTTACCAAACACGCCCGTCCTGGTGTCCAGCAACCCCGCGGTTTCCATACCCGGTGGCTCCGCGGGGCAGAAACTCATGAGGACAGATAAATTGGAGGTATTTGCCTTGGCTTGGGTTCCGTTGCCTTATTTCGTGAAGGAATCGGTAGGAGAATTTGGGTGCAGATTGCTCTGTTTCCGTCAGCCCTGTGGGAAACGAGAAGCACACCCAGGAGGACTAACTATAATTTTATTGTAGGGTTACATTAATAGAATTGTGCAGTCTGAAAGGGCATCTCTTCCCCCTTCACCTTTCAGTTCCAAAAACTTCAGAAGGTTTCCCTGCTGGGATGATTGCCATGCCCCCATTCTGGCCTGCAGGTTCAGCTGCCTCTTATCCAAATATTGCCCCTTCTGTCTCCCAAGGCCATTTCCACACGCTCTTACCATTTCTCTGTTCTATCCTGCAAATTGATACGGCCACCCTTCTTCTTACTCAAACAAACCTGGCAGAGCGATCGCCTTGAGACCAGCAGGATGTATATTGTCCCTCTTTGAACCCCACCTCCTCTGCCTTTCCAGGTGTGCCGAGAATTTCAGCGTGGAAATTGCACGCGGGGCGAGAACGACTGCCGCTACGCTCACCCAATCGATATTGCCATGATTGACACGAACGAGAACACGGTCACGGTGTGCATGGATTACATCAAAGGCCGATGCTCCAGGGAGAAATGCAAGTACTTTCACCCCCCTGCGCATTTGCAAGCTAAAATCAAGGCAGCTCAGCACCAGGTGAATCAAACAGCCGCGACCGCAATGGTAAGAGAGCCACCTTCAGCGACGACCTGGCTGAATGTTGTGTTATCCCACCAAGTGGGGACAGGGGGTGCTCCCCCTTTTTAAATACTCACCCTCCCACAATCACCCGTTCAGCCCTGAGAGGCTCGTTTAGAAGGAAGTCCCACAGTTTTCAGAACCCATAAAGCAAATCCTATCGTATCTGAATCAAACCTTTCTTTCTTTCTTTCTTTCTTTCTTTCTTTCTTTCTTTCTTTCTTTCTTTCTTTCTTTCTTTCTTTCTTTCTTTCTTTCTTTCTTTCTTTCTTTCTTTCTTTCTTTCTTTCTTTCTTT